GGGAAAGGGGGGGGGGGGGGGGGGGGGGGGGGTGTGGTGTCAGGAGGAGTTGGTTGGGAAAGCGTGATGTGATGTGATGTATGTGATGTGGGCTGCTCCGCGCCCTCACGTTGACGATGAGGATGGCGGCTGCGGCGTAGTCCCTGAGCACGCTGGTGTCCTTGATGAGCGTGAACAGGCTGTTGTACACGGTCTGCTCCATCTCCTGGTACTGAGACATCGTGCCTGCGGGCATGTGGGCGTGTACAGGTGCACGTGCGTTGGTGTGTGTGTGTGTGACTGTGACACTGTGTGTGTGTGTGTGTGTGAGTGTGTTGATGTGTATGTTGTGTTTAGTTGGGATTGTCTTGAAGTTGTTCATCATAGTGCAGCCGTGTCAGATGCAGCCGAACATCATCCAACGTGCATGCCCCGCGTGCCGCACCCGCACACACGTGGCGCACCCCGTTTGTGAGCTTTCGAAACAACCCCCAACCCCAACTCCCATCACCCCAGCCCGCTCACGCTGCATCTTGTCCTCTTTGTGCTGCATCCTCCTCAGCGTCAGCTCAAGCTCCATCTCCCCCCTCGCCCGCGTCACGCCCAGCATGGCGCGCATGCGCTCGCAGCGGCCTGAGCGCGCGGTGCGCGTATGTGTGTTTGCCGCGCAGTCACACGGTCGGACAAGAGGCATTGTGATAAGATAGTGCAGGCGTGCAGGCGCCGGCCGCACCCATGCGTGAGCGCGCCCGATGCAGCGCAGCATTCACTGTTTGCCGAAAGGCTGGCCGATCCCCTGTTTCTTCTTCATCGTGCTGATCGCTTCCTAAAATCGAGCAGCCGCCCTGCCCCTGTCCGCACCCTGCAGCTCCAGGACTGTGCGGCGCCGCGAGTCCAGCTCCAGGCGCAGAGCCTCCAGGCGCCGCATGCGCTCCTGGGGGCCGTGCGACAGACCGGAAGTGGGCGTTGATGATCAAGAGCAATAGCGCCCGAAGATCAGAGGGGTCTCGACGCAGGCAGCTGTGGGCACGCGTTGTCCACGCCATTTGCAGCTTCAAGGTCGCCAGCAAGGCGAGACCTCAAGCGTCCGCTATATGCCGCCACCGGCGCCGCTGCTTGTGCGGCCGCTTGTTGCAAGCGCTGCTCCATATCCTCGCCACAACCGGCTCCAGCCACTTTCTCAACGCCCGTGCACTTGGCAACTTGCCCCGCCTTATTCAATCACTATTCTTCCTGCCAATAAATTTGGTGCGATAGCCCCATAGCACTGCCTTCCTGCCTGTCACCTGCTGCTTCGGAATTGGTGATCATTCAACACACCACACGCAAGACAGGACTGCACCTCCGCACAAACGCACGCACCTGGATGGTCCTGTAAGCCACCATCCACTGCTTGATGGGCTGCAGCACCTCAATATCCAGCCGCTTCTTGCTCTCAGCGGCCGCGGACGTGAGGCGCTCCACCTGCACGTCGCCGCCGATCATGGATGGCTCCGGCTCGCTGGGCACAGCCTGCCCGTTGTGGCCCTCCTCGTACACACGCGGCAGCGGCGACAGCATGATCGTCCTGAAGTCTGTGAAGCTAGCTACAGTGTGTTACAAGCGGTAGGGGGCAGCAGCACGTACATATTACAAAGTCGGGAGACTGGGCCGGCTTTCCCGGTCTGGTGACGCAATCACGGCGGCAGGCAAGCCCAAAAAGCTGTGAGCACACTCATGGGCCGCTCAATCTCAAGCAATGGATCCCACCTTCGATGTCGCGCTCCCACGAGGTCAGGTCTTTCTCCACCTGCCTCAGGTGTGCCGCGAACATGGACGCCTCCCGAAACATAGCCTCGTTACGGGAGTTTGAGGTCGCCCTGAAGTTTCGTTCCAGCGAGAGGCCCCACTTCTGCTTCACCTGCGGCACCAGTCGCAGGGCGGGCGCGGGTCAGAGGGCTGTCCCGCGTTCCAGGCCCGCCAGAGACGACACACACCGTCTCCTGGATGACACGCCATGTTGACGATGACATTGTGGCCCTCTGTTGCGAGCTAGGCTGCCCTATCGCCCCGTTGTTGCGCGCGGGGCTCTGTGCTGTCACGAGTTGCTGATCGTGCGGATATAGATGTAGAAGTGATGCAAAGTACAGTGCGATACGCTGATAGCTGCATGCAGACCAGAGCTTGCCGCTGGGGCGGTCAAAGCCCCGCGCCAACTCGGCAGCTGCCATGACGAGTAGTACCAGCAGCGGCTGCTGCAGCCAAGTAATCGCGCCACACCTTGCCAGCAGGTTGCATGCCGAAGAGAGCAGGCGAAGGTTACCTTTTATCAGGACCAAGTTTGACATAACGACTTGCCTAGAGGGGAAGGGACGTGTTGCTGGGCACTCCTGCTGCATCAAGCCTGAGCCGCCTCCCCCCTTCCGCAATCTGATATGAACGGTCCCGGCTGCGCGCAGCCATCGTACAACGTAGTGCCACCAAACGCAGGCAATTAATTTACAGCAGCTCAAAGGAATAGAGCACCAGAAAATGGACGCTGCCCCGAAGACGCATACAATAGAGGTCAGCACTCAGGAGGGACAGTCTTGGAGCCACCCGCAGGACTAGCCCATCCAACTGAAAGTCTGACAAAGCCCACGCGGCAGAGGCTTCGAAGCTGCCGCATACCACACAGACAAGTCAAAGCGTGGTCACGCTTGCAAACAAAGGGCCGTCAGGCGGGCCAGCGCAAAGGCGCGGGCGCAGGCTGCACTGATTCCGCTCCCGCCACCACGCCATCCGTGCATGTTTGCGAGCTGCCTCGTGCTGCTGCCCTTCGCGGGGCGCGCCCCCTGAAGCAGGGGTGCACCGGCGCGGCGCGCCCTGGCGCCTGCCGATTGCAAATGGCCAGACGCTCCTCCTTGGCGATTGGGCAAGGGACGCTTCCCTCTCAACCTCCCCTTCCCTCCAACCGCCACCCGTCCACGGCGCCGCCACGCCCCCCGCGCCCAGCGCCGCCGCCGCGTCACTCCTCTATGATCCGCGACAGCGCCTGGATCAGCGTCTTGAGGTTCCGCTGCACGCCCGCGTCGCGGCTGAAGGCGCCCATGTCGGCTGATATGGACTCCACGTGCTCCAGGGTGCGGCACAGCGTCTGCACACTCGAGCGCAGCGCCTTCACGTTGTCGTCAGTCAGGACCGCCGCCTGTTGTGTTTGAAATGTCATTGCATGGCGTGGGTTTGGGCGTTGCCATTGGGGCTAGACGGGGAGGGGTGCGTGGATGGGGCTTGCCAGGGGCATTAGCGCAAAAGTGATGCACGGAGTCTGGTACAGGCGCAGCAAAAAAAGTATGAAAATGGGCGACACGAAGCAAGTGCGGCACCCAGACGCTCGCAGTGACCGATGCATCTGGAGGTGCGTAGTCGCTGCTATGCATTGGTCCACGCCACGGCCCACCTCCAAACCAGCCCCGCCCCCGCACCTGCAGCGCCTGTATGTCTGCCGCCGCGCCCGCCGCCGCCTCTGTCAGGTGCTCCAGGTTTCCGACCAGCCCGCCCTGCCGCAGCTCCTGCGCGCGCGCGGTCATACAGTCGGGCAGGATGAGCTCGTCACCGGGTGCACGAGTGCGCACACAATGTAATCGTGAGTGCCACAACATCTCAAGGCATGGTCGAGCAATGTGAAGTACAGAGTGGACGGATTTGCAGACGCTGTCGTAGCAGCGGCAGGGCTGCTCGTTGCTGCGTCCCCTTACACCCCTCCCCTCACACACACACCTGCAGCAGGGGGGTGACCTCCCGCGCCAAGTGGGTGGCCTCCTCCAGCAGCGGCGTCGCCTCCTCCAGCGCCGCCGCCGCCTGCTCGGCTGCCGCGAAGATCTTGTCGATCTGAGGGAGGGGGTCGGGATGAGGGGGGGCCGACGGGTATGCCCCAGGGCGGAAGACCCTCAATCCATCGGAAATATTTCGCAAGCATCCCCCTTCCCTTGATTCACCAACAACAAGAGGAGTACATTTGCCAAGCCGAGCTGGTCCCGTTGCCCCACATGCTCAGCCAGGGGGGGGGGGGTGGTGGTGAGACGAGCGCGCGGCTGCTCAAGAGGCAGTGCGGGCCGCCGCAGCGTCACCCGGCGGCGGCGGCGGCTCACCCCCTCAGCCTCCATCTGGCGCGCCATGCGGGTCATGATGTACACCAGGTCATCCAGAGCCACGCCCTGCGGGTGAGTCATGAGGACGACCGCACATTGCATTTTGATGAGATGGCTGGCTTCGGGCAGGGGGAGAGACGCGGCGCACAAGCCTGGCAATCTGGGTAGGGGGCTGCAAACCAGCAATGAAAGCCGGGCCTGCATACCACAGGAGCTGCGGGCAAATGCAAGGTTCCAAGGCGGTGGGATCAAGCTCGCTCGCGACGCTCATCACGCGCCACCATGCGAACACGCCAGCGCAGCCAGCAAGCCTCTGCGCCGCGCGCCTGCTGCCCCTTGATGTGTCCGTTGTGGCAGACGATGGCGCCCTCCTCCTCGCAGCCCGGCTCCAGGGGGTTGCGCGTGAACACGGGCAGCGGCAGCTGCGGCGGCGGCGACGGCAGGGACAGCACAGCGTTGGGGAGCTGAGTTTTGCCAGCACATCCCATTGCGGATGGCTCGACAAATGCAATGCGGAGCAGCGACGCAAGCGCTCGATCCGCGCCGCCGCGGCGCCGGCACATATCGCTCCGGCCCCCAGCTGCGTTGGCTGCAGGGCGGTGGACCGCGCCGCGAGGCCGTGGCCTCAAAAATTCGCCTGGCCCCACCTGCGGTGTGATGTCAACCAGGGGCTCCGCGATAAGGCCGCTCTGGTTGGCCTCGATCACACTGCACACGAGATGGTTGAGGAAAAGGAGGGCGGAAGTCAGCCGCTGCGAGCATGCACGCCGCTGCTACTGCCAGATTGGGACGCACAGGAGGTGGCGCACGCCGCGGCTGCTGTGTACAAGGCGAGCACATTGCGCAATCGGGCGTGAAAGCACTGCCTCCAGGAGTGCAAGCCAGGCGGCGGGGTGGCGTGCCTGTTCCTGGGTATGATGGCACTGGTTGCGTCGTTGACCTCCACCAGGACATCAACACGGTCCAGGCTGGGGCGCACGTCAATCACGCTGCCGACCTGGGGGCGTCACGATGCAGGGTGTGTGTGCGCGGGTGTGCGTGTGCTTGCAGAGTGTGCACATACGCGCGCATGTCACAATTCGCGTAATGGTGCTGCGTGCGCGTCTGCATGAGCCCGTGCACATGCAGGTGCGTTCACACACTTGGCCGCGCGGCCAGGGACCATGAAGGCGGCTGCGCTCACGCGCCTGCCCCCCGCGACCCATGCCGGCCATGTGACGCGAAGCGCGAGCGCATGCGACGGCCGCTCGCCCTCCCGCGCGCCCGCCGCGGGCCGGCCCACCTGCACGCCGCGAATGCGCACTGGCGTGCCCACGCTGATGCCGCTGGCGAGGGGGAACTCAAACACTGCATTGTATGGCAGCGCCTTGCGGAGCGCGACGCCTTTGGCCCAAATCACCAGGGCGATTGCGAGGGCGGAGCCACCCAGCAGGAACAGCCCGACCCCGCCCTCTAGGATCGAGGACTTGCCCATTCCGAAGTCGCGGAGGGACCTGTTGGGCGCGGTTGCGCGTGTCGTGGGGGCGTGCTTTACTTCAGTGTGCGCGCGTTCGGGCAGCAATCAGCCCCACGCGCCGAGAGGGCTGGGGCAGCGGGCCTGCTGGCAGACGGCTGTCGCAGACACAGAAGGTACGTGCCGGCCGCTTGTGTGGCATGGGGCAGGCGCACCCAGCTTGCAATCAAGGCAATACCCAGCCAAGCGCCCTCACTTGTACAGGCCGGCCAAGAATCCGGGTTGCCGGTCGCCGGGCCCCGCAGCTGCTGGCCCGTCGCCCGGCAGCGCCGCCGCCCGCACCGCCGCGCCTCTCCGCCCGTTGCTGCTGACGCCCAGGAGGGGCTGCTGCCGCTGCCACTGATGCCATTGTGAAGGGGTGCCGGCTGCGGCCGAGTGCTGCTGCTGGCCCGGCGCAAGCGCACGCAGCTGCTGCTGATGCGGATGCCGTCGCGGCGCGCCGACGAGCAAGCACCTGCTAGGCAGAGTGGTGCCTGGCAACCTGCATGGCAGCGCTGCCCGTGGTTCCACTTTCTGGCCAAACCTCTGCGAGTGCCCCAGCATCGCGTCAGCCACGAGGTTTGTTGTGCAATTCGCACAGGACTCCCTCTCCCTCCTATATGCGACTGGCTTATATGCTAGTTTATGGGTCAATCGAGCGCCTAGGATCAATCAGGGGCTGCAGCTCAGATCTGACCCTGGCAGATGGGATGTGACAGAGCTCAGAGCGATGTACCGTATCAAGAACCTCATGAGCCTGCGCATCGGCCAAAGGATTCAGGTCAATGGCCTGGGCTCAAACCGAGGCACACGCAGTCAAGGGAATCAACACTGCCGTGGCATCATCACCGCCGCTGTCGCTACTGTATGTGAACTCAGAACTTGCACTTGGTGGCCGCCGTTGAAGCCATGACCACAAGCTTATTACATCGTAGCAAAGCCCTGCGTTGCAGCACGGTGTGCATTGGCAAGCACGCTTGTAAACGAGGCGCCTTCAAAACCCGTCTATCCGTCCAGCATCGCCTGCGTGCGCAGTGCCGGTTAGCCAGTGAGGCCAGGCATGCGGCAGCCTGCATAGGATGGTGCACGCGTTAAAGCCGCCGCGCTGGCGTCGGATGAAGAGCAGCGCCCGCATTATCACCAGAGCGGACGCTTCTCTGCAGCGCCTTATTGCACGCCCCGCCTGTGCTGGCGCAGCGTTGACAAATCGTGTCTCAAGTCTTGAAGGGCCCGTTCATCAACCCAGCTTGCACTAGAACCTGCAAAGGGCTGCGTGCTCCCAACGCAATATCACTCCTACGTCCTTGCCCTGGAGTTGTGGCCTGATTGCCGTATGTGCACCCGAATGGCCGCCCCTACCGCCATCCGCCGCGCTACTGCTGGCTGGACGCGCGCGCGCGCGGCCGCATTTGCAGCCGCGCCCCAGTTTCCAGATCGCATCGCAGCGTCATCCATGCACGCGCCTGGTCATCCCCTTGGTCACGTGTCCGGTGGCTTGCGCATGGCACGCCAATTCGAAAAATTGCAGGTGAGTGCAGCAATTTTTGGAGGCAAAAGCACCCGTGCTGCAATTCGCATGGCCACGAGTGCCGCTCGCTGGCTGCGCCCAAATGCCGCATGACGGATATTATGACGTGAGCTGCATATGTCAAGTCAAGAAGTCATTAGTCACGTCAGCTTGCGGAACGCGCAAAAGTCACAAACCTCCGCATCCCGCCGTCGCCTGCGCCAACACGACCGCCGAGGCCGCGGCCTGGCTGCCATGCACTGACTGTCCGGCTGCCGCTGCCATCAGATCAAGTCATCACCATAGTCAAACGCCGGCCGCTCCGGGTCGGGCACCCACCGCGCCGCCACGCCCTTGGCAGACAGCAGCTTCAGGCGCCAGCAGTTGCGCGCGTGCAGCGGCGCCGCCGCGCGCGTGCACGCGGCGCCGCAGTACCTCGCGCACCCGCAGGCCGCGCAGCCGCGCGGCACGTCCCCTTCCCCCTCGCCGCCGCCGCCGCCGCCGCCGCCGCCGCCGCCACGGCCGCCGCGCCCCACCTCATAACCGCCGACGCAAGCGCCGCCGCACCAGTCGCACACGCCGTCATCCCGGCCGCCGCCCCCGCCGGGCGCCGCTTCCGATGGCGCCCCTGGCAGGGGGCCGGGGCCCACCAAATGGTCTGAGTGGAACCAGGGAGCGGCGGCAACGAGGGCCTCGTCCCCCAGCTGGTCGCAGGCGGTGTCCGCCGCCGACAGCCTGCGAGCGGGCGCGTGCGTGCGCATGCGTCGGCGGCGGTGCCGTGAGATCGTTTCGCGGGTGCCCCGATGGGAGTGAGGGTAAGACTATCAGGGCGCCGTCGCAAACAGGCGAGCGTGCCGGTGTCTGGGGAGAATGAGCTGCGACGGCGCGGCGCCCTCTCGTCCCTCGAAGGCCGCGCCGAGCGGCAGGTGGTGGGGCGGGCCGGCGC